AGGTACACATGTTTCTTTAGGCACGAGCAACTGCCGCTCTATTTCGACTTTTAATGCTGGCACGTGTCAATTCTAATAAGAAACATTTTTATCAATGAATGCAGTGATAACTAACATAAAGTGACCATCTCGCAACAATGCAAATTAATGTGATTTTAAACAGTACTACTTAATTAATGTTTTCACATGGGATGATCGAATTGTCGTGTCCACTCTATTTATACGCTGAATGGCAGAATCGGTAAAGATCAATTCCCCTGCTTTCTGAACAGCTCCTCACTGCACTTCGTTTCTTTTGAACCAATTAAACCTACAGGACCGAATAATCACAAGACTTATTTTAAATGCATTACTATATTTTTCTTAGAATAAAATCTTAATTTCTTCTGGGTAAACCCAGACATGTGCTTGATCGCACTCCGGATCAATATCAGGTGCGAGTTTATTGGATTACCAACTTTGATCGACGTTTGGTGTGGTAAAACTTTTATTGATTGAAATAAAACATTGCCTTGACCACAAATTATTACCAGCAAAACAACTGCCTTTGGGTTTTTGGACTTCAACTCGGTTGTGATTATTGAGCAAACCACGGATTTATTTTACACTCCCTGCCTCGACGACTTCCAGAATGAAAAGACTCGAAAAAGCTAAGCGGAAGTCACTTGTCACTAGTGACTTTTGACAGGTGTCACGGACTAGTTTTAGTTACGGCGCAGCAGCGCCAAAAATACGAAATTTCTCATTTCCCTTTTTTTTTGCAGTACCGGGTGATTAAGATGAATCAATAAAAAAAAGGCAAAGTAATACTAAAGGAAATAGTTAAGGAAAAAAAATGTTTAATTGGAAGAGAGTTATTTGCTATACGGCCGTGCACACCCCCCGACCTAGAGTGTTGGTGGAGTCTCGTTCCGCATTATTTACTATGCAGGATATCCTTACGATGATATATGCCGCGATGCTTGCAGTTTTCGTCCTCTAGTTCATACATACAGTTTCCTTTGATAGCAATT